GACCTCTCAGACAAGGTAGTCTGCAGCTTATGATTAGCTTCTCTTAACATTTCAAGTGCTTATAATTAGCATGTCCTATATTGAAAATCAGAGAGATTCCTAAGATCTTTTATCATAATTTTAAGTACCACTTTTAAAATTATTTCCACATGTCATTGTATAGTACAGTACATACAGTATTAGGATGGTTTTGATTTAGGGTGTGTAATCCCCATAGACTTAACTTGCATACATGTACAGTGGATGCCTGTCAAATAATAATAATTATAATAATAATAATAATAATTTTATTTCTTTATGCCTTACAAATAATGTAGTTTAAATGAAATGATACATAGGTAGGAACACATTAAAGCCACTAATTATGCAATGCATTTTTAACAACTAATTGCAAGGCTTACATGTTCCTCAAGAACTTGACATAGACTGTTAAGTAGGACTTCTTGTGTAGTCAACTACAGGTTGGCCATCACTAATCTGGCATCATCGGGACCGGTAGTTTGCCGTATTATAGAGTTTGCCGGATTACAGAGTGGTTAGGTTAGAATACACTTAACAACCTATCAGTAGAGACTTTCTGCTACATCTTCCTCATTTTTATCACAGCTTCCTCTTCCACTGGCTTGCTGCTGAGGATTTATAACCATCTGCACAATTTCTGAGTCAGTATAATGATGAAATTTGAAATTATGCTCTCCAAAATTAGTGCCGGATTACTGATGGAACCGGATAACTGATTGCCGGACTAGTGATCGCCGACTTGCACAATCATAAGTACAATAAGAGAGGTAGCTGGTGACAGATAGTCAATTACAAAAGAAGACATTTAAACTGATTCAGTGATCTTCTGTTTTGTGGAGTGATAGTGTATGTACTGTGATTGTCTTGTATGTATGTACTGTGCTTGTATTGTATATGTACTAGACAGTACTTCATGTGGTTATTATTAAGACTGTGTAATTTAATAAAATACAGTATATGTGTGTAATATAATATAAAGTACATGCATATTTTCAAGAGATAGATAGCCGTTGAACTTCATGGTTATTTTAGTGATGGCATATGCAATATATCACTGTATGGAGGTGTTCATTGTGCTGCTGCTGTTGATCCTGCTCTTAGTATTTCTTATAGTCGCATACCCTCGTATATACGCAATTAATTAAAAAATTTCTTTGTACTCAAAATTAATTTTTCAAGTTTCCTAACATTAGCATACAATTCTGTACTGTACATACTTGATTCAACTCAGACCAGTGCTTTCTCTAACCACTGGGTTATGCTTGCTCAATAAGATTAATCCAGTTGGGACTGGCGTGCCATGGGTTCAAATTGTGCCTGTTCCATGAGTTGTTTATAAGCCTGTAATTATGATTTTCAGACTTGGCCCTTTATTCAGTCTAACATTTAATTATAAAACTAAACTTAGTGTAAGAAAATAGAATTTGTAAATAATGAATCATGTGTGAAGGTGTACTCTGTCAGTTGCTTTAGTTCAGAAGAATCTTGAAGTAGGTAGCATGTTTGCTGGTGCATTGTATTAACATACACCTGTGGAGACCCTCCTCAATGTAGTGTATATACAGTATATGTAAGCTTTTGTATCACTAGTGGATAAATGAGTGCCATAGTTTTCTTTACTGACAACACTGTTGACAGTGGAAAGCTATGGTTTGCAAGCATATATGGATCTCTGGATTTTTTTTTTGCATGTTAAGTGGTTTTTTAAACTACATGGTCTGTCATTTTCTGCAGACTACTGTACTATAATTTCAGAACCTTGTATTTGCACAATCCTCAATACTATTCTTGGTTTTCTCAGGCACATCCCTTTTTTTTCCTTAACCCTTTCAGGGTCCACTGGCCCTCTCAGAGACTTGTTCTCAGGGTCCCCCAAATTTCAAAAAAAAAAAAAAAAAATTTTTTTCTTATGAAAAGATAAAGAATCTTTTCCCGATCATAATGACACCAAAAGTATGAAATTTTATGGAAAACTTAGGAAATTATGCTCTTGCGAAGTTAGAGGTCTCAACGATGTTTACTCATCGGCGATTTTGCCCACTTCGAGCCCTATTTTCGGCCAATTCCAGTGTACTAGTCGACAAAAATCATACCTATTTTGCTAGAACTCCATTTTTTCTATCAATTGAGTACAAGAAACCACCCATTTACCGATTTCAACTATCCAATACAGTGGTCAGAATTTAGCAATTTTGCCAATTTCACACAAATTTCAATAGATGCCAATTTCCAAATAGGGTCCAGGATAAACAAGAAAGACATTCCTGGCACTAAAATAACATTTCCTCTGTTCATTAGTCACGTCCCCATGCCCCTCTTACATTCTTTTGCTTTACATTTTGAATTTTTATTCTCACAAAAAATAGAAGATTTACTGTTATGCAGACTACTGTATTAGTGTAGAAATGGTATAAATAATATCGGCGCACTTGTGAAAGAATATTAGACTCACCAGTTGACGTGTATTGGACGCTTAGCATGATTTGTTTACTTTTGAACTTTGGTAAAAATCGAACATTTCTGCTACTTTGAGCTCAATTTCAAGGTACTTTTCATTGTAAAACCAGTCAAAACCATCTCAATTTATGTAATATGTCTTCCACTCTATAAAATGAGACCAGGAAAACTAGAATACAACAATAAATAACATACGAAATTACAGTGCAAAGTCGCTGTTTTAATCCAAAAACACGGTCAGAGTTTTTTTTTTTCTCATTACGCACTGTGTGCTGCAGGATTTTTTTTTTATACTGCGCACACTGACCACATAGACCCATTCTTTCATATGTAGGCCTACCAGCTTTCTCTCGCTAGATTTGAACGCACTAGAATTTATGAGTACTAGTACGTCAAGGACCCTGGTTCGTAAGCCGTACTAGTACAGCCGAAACCCTGAAAGGGTTAACATATACTGTACTGTGTATGCCTTATCACTCAGCTAATGCACAAAAGAATTGGAAATAAGTCTTTTTTTTTATAATGCAACTATTTTCTGATACCACAATAAGACTACCACTTTATATGTACCTCATACTTATTCCACTGATATCTTTGTGGCTGAACAACGTGCTATACTTACCTTGTTTTTGCTTCAGCAAGGAAGGAGCAGTTTCTTAGTCCTTGTAATTTATACTAGTGTTACCATTTGTTGTTAAACTTTATATTCTTATGTAGCTGGTTCACTATACATAATTATTTGTCATGAGTGTCATTGCTTGTTAGTATGTTAATGTATTTTTTAATACCTGTACCATTTTCAGTGGAGAGAGGGAGGCTTATAAAGCAATCATGGCAATACTTGTACTGTATGTACCATGTATTAGCAGAAGTTTTTAAGGAAAAACATGGACAAGTTCCTGCAGTAGTAGTAGTAGTAGTAGTAGGTTGGCAGACAGCAACCATCCAGGGATTTATGAGAGACAACCATACCATGTTATCTTGATGTGGCATAAATAGATTGGGATATTTATACCAAATATTTTAATTAGCACTGATCTAGTACTGTGGTTGTCATTACAGTACATTGTATATATAGTTCCCCAGACTGTCTTTAAGAGATGTCGTGACAGTTTTGTCGATGCTTTTAACTGTCAACCAAGCTGTGTTGCCTGTCAGACTACTTGCTGTCATCAACATCCTGATTGACCTTGCTGTGTCAAACAGTAGGCCTTGACTGAGAGTACCATCGTCAGGTATACATGCCCTAGGTACAGCAGGTCTTTACTCTTAGGTACAGTATTATCAAAATGATAGTTACATGTCTTCCATCTCCTTACTCTTTCTTCAGTGCTGATATGTAGTTTTTTTTTTACAGGGGTTGAGTCATAGCTCTTGGCTCCACCTCTTAATGTTTACCAGCTGGGCTTACTGATATGTGGCCTTCAGAGTCCAATCATGTATAGATGTGCACTTTGTTTATTGACAACCAAGTCACTCTTGAAAAGTTTTGGACTGTTTGACTCAAATTTTGCTTGACTTACTGTTGACCTGTACCCTGTAATCCACCTGCTATATATTACTTCATTCTTTCATGTTTTCATTTTCAGGTAGGTTCAAATAAGAAATGATTAGTTGGTATTTTTCTAATAAAAACTGCTTTGTGAATGGGTGATCAGTCTGTGTGTATGAAGTTAAGTTGAACACATTTCTTTAATCCAGGTACTCTTGGTTCTGCAAGCTAATTCTGAGGTATATATATTGGCAGTTTGGAGGGATATGTTGTGTATCTTTATACGTATATGCTTCTAAGCTGTTGTATTCTGAGCACCTCTGCAAAAACAGTGATAATGTGTGTGTGGTGAAAGTGTTGAATGATGATAAAAGTATTTTCTTTTTGGGGATTTTATTTCTTTTTTGGGTCACCCTGCCTTGGTGGGAGACAGCCGATTTGTTGAAAAAAAAAAAAATATTTTTTTTTCTATTTTAAGTTGTCGATGAGGGAAGGTTACCTGTAGTTGACTCTGGGGGGTCACTTCCTCCATGGCCCAGTTCTAGATCTGGCCTTCTGGTTGATAGCATGATCTATGAGACTGTTGGTGTTAACAGCAAGCAGTCCAAGATAGGCAGAGGGTAGATGGTAAGCCAATATCTTGCTAATTTTATCTCTTGAGTTAAGTCATCAGCTGCATGAACACTTACCCAATCTCATTTGCTATATAGGTAATCTGTGCATTTTGAGAGAAAGTTAAGCTCTTTGATTTAGACCTGCTTTTGGTATATTTGGGGTCTTGAGTTGTAGATTCTCTTGTAGTGTGTACAGTATTTAGGTCAGGAGTTGAAGCAGACTGAGAGGAGGGTTGGTATTGGGTATAGATTGGGTGGCAGTGGGGGTGGCTAGGGATGGTGCCAAGTTGAAGCACACTTTTGGCACTATACTGGGGAGAAAGGCCAGTGTTAGTGCCAAGTCTTCCCTGTGAACGGGTTACTTTAACTGCACCCTGCACGTACGCTGGCAGTTGGCTTCGCACTGCATGTGGCTATTTGTAGACCAGGGAGACTTGGGGATCAGTACCTGTGCAGTTGATAGTCATGCTTGCGACTCAACTCAGTGCAGTGGCTACTCACGAATGTGGGGACCTGATTGCACGCAAACGTACTTATCGAGGTACCTTTCCAACTTGCATCTCGTGAGTGACTTTGGTTAGGTGCATTAGATGCCTGACAGAATAAGAACGTGATTGTTAAAGAAGTAATCTGCGCAAAAGAGTGCACTTATCATAGTTTAAGTGACTTAAAAAGTGTCAGTAGTTATGGTACTTGTGTAAATATGTGTTGAATGGTTACAGGAGATTAGTGCACTAATACTATTATCAATACTCTGGTGATTGTGTCTTTTAGCAAAGTGTGTTGAGGTCACAGGGTGTACGTACATTATTAACTGTTCTCGATCAGACTGGGACTCATTTTTGTCAGTGTGTATCATTTATATATAAACAAAATATCTGTGGTCAGTTTAGTGGCCAGGTTGTGTGTGTGTTTCATATTAGCATGTGTTTTTGAACATGAAACAACTCCTTATGAAGTTTAGAAGAAGTATTTCCCAGGAGCGTGAGTATTTCAGTCACATTGTTTTTTTTGTTCTAGTTTTATTTGAGAAATGCCAGAAAAGCACTCTTGAATTTTTTCAAGGTTTGGCTGCGTGTGTCTGCTACCTCAAACTTCCCAGTGTTAGCATTCTCATCATAATTTTCACACCAGATTTTTACTAAATTTGATGAAAGTTATTCCTAAGTTGTACAGTACCTTGTACAGGTCCTCCCCGACTTTCGACTTATGCGCACATATGACTGAAAAATACACTATAAATTAGAAGAATAAAGAATATATATTCGTAAATATAGAAATTACCCTTGGTCATGCGTTCACCAGTGCTAGCAGTGGATGTATGACCGATGAAATTATGAGTAACAAGAAAATTGATAGGCCTAGCCAAGGCTACATTCCATACAGCATTTTTATTTGTGAAGCCTATGAATGATACCTACAAATAAGGAACATCAGTTTGTGAGTAACGAAACCTAAGGTAATAAAGCAGGTTGATAAAAAAAGAAAAAGATAATCGTGACAGAAATTTATTAGGTTAAAAGAATGCTGTACAGGTATATGACTTCTACACACCATGCTAACATAATTCCCACATCCCTCTATTTCAAGATCTGACTGGTCGGTTGGAATGGAACGCGGATGTAAGTTGGGGAGGATCTGTATAAGATTCATCTTGGTAACTTAGTTCATTATCAGCTTTTGGGAATAATTCTGCTGACTTATGAATCTCTCTTGTTCCATGTGCTAAAATTACTTTTCATTGCAAATTGGGAACTTGAATGGTGTTTTGTCTTGTAATTTATTTGATAATACAAATAGCATTGGGCTTAAACTTGGAGTATACTTGGAGGGGGTTTCAGGGGTCAGCGCCCCTGCGGCCTGGTCCATGACCAGGCCTTGCAGTTGATCAGGGCCTGATTAATCAGGCTGTTATTTCTGGCTGCACATAAACTGACGTATGAGCCACAGCCCAGCTGGTTAGGAACTGACTAGGTGCCTGTCCAGCACCTTGAAGACAGCCAGGGGTCTATTGGTGATCCCCCTTATATATGCTGGGAGGCACTTGACCAGTCTTGGGCCTCTGACACTTATTGTGTTGTCTCGTAGTGTACTTGTGGCACCCCTGCTTTTCTTTGGGGGATGTTGCATCTTCTGCCAAATCTTGCTTTTTTAGGGATTGATTTTTGTGTGCAGATTTGGGATCAGTCCCTATAGGATTTTCCAAATGTATATTATCTTGTATCTTTTTCGCCTGCATTCCAGGGAGTACAAATCAAGGGACTTAACCGTTCCCAGTAATTTAGGTGCTTTATCGTGTTTATACATGCTGTGAAAGTTTGCTGTACATTCTTCAGGTCTGCACTTTCGCCTGCTTTCAAAGGGGCCATTAGTGTACAGCAGTATTCCAGCCAAGAGAGAAGAGAATCATCATGGGCTTGGCATCCCAAGTTTTGAAGGTTCTCATTATCCATCCTATCAGTTTCCTAGCAGATGTGGTAGATACATTGTTGTGATCGTTGAAAGTGAGATCCTCTGACATTACCACACCCAGGTTCTTCACATTAGTTTTTTCGCTCTGTTGTGTGGTTGAAATTTATTTTATACTCCGATAGTTTTACTGTAATTTCCTCGAGTTTTCCGTAGCAGAGTAATTGAAATTTTACTCATTGAACTTCTTATTGTTTTCTGTAGCTCATTTAAAGATTTGGTTGATAACCACTTGGAGACTTGCAGTGTCTTTGATGGATGACACTGTCATGCAAATTCGGGTGTCATCTGCAAAGGAAGACGTGGTGCTGTGGCTTACATCTCTGTCTGTGTCAGATATGTGGATGAGGAACGGGATGGGAGTGAGTACCGTACCTTGTGGGACAGCTTTTCACTGTAGCTGCCTCTTGACTTTACTGTGTTTACTATTGCTCTGTGTGTTCAGTTTGTTAGGAAGTTATAGATCTATCTACCATCTTTTCCTGTTATTCACCATAATTGCACTTGTTGAAGGCTTCTGCAAAGTCTGTGTATACTATATCTACATTTTGTTTGTCCTCCAGAACATCCAAGACCTTGTCATATACTAGTGTTCACGTTTCTATAAAAGAAAAGTTTATAATAAGTTTCCATATCTTATTGTGAGGAGAGATGTTACTTTCATAATAGTTTACAGCTTAAAAGAATCTCTGATGGCATTTTGTATTATGATATTTTTTCTTATCAATGCTTTTTAGAGGGCATTAGGTGAAGAATTTGTTAGATCTCTCTTAAGTGGCCTGCAGTCATGTTAATTTTTAAAATAAAGCTGTATCAGAGCAAAACATTGTTCCTGCTAAAACATTGTTTTGCAATGTTAGTTTTTCTTCAATATCTTTGGCATTTTGCTGCTTGGGTTCAACTTAAAGCCTTGCAAAAGATTAGGATAGATGACTTCTAGCTCAGGCAGCTCAACAGTAAAAGCATTTACAAAACTCACGCATGAAGGGTGACTGGGCAGGATGAGGTATTCACAAGTCTTGTCTATGTTGCTCTGGTTCATCTAGTAGTAAATAGGTAGAGTTTCTGGGTGTTATACTTATGGGATACCAGCTCTTACTTTGTATCAGTGAGCATGTGGTAGCTTTCTCCTGGTTGATGTGATGTACAAGTGTTCTTTTAAAATCGACGTATCGTTAGGTTAAAGCTCATGTAATTCTGCTGGTAGCGCAGAGAATCTTCCCTACAGTATTTAGCAGCAATAAACTTGAAATGCCCTTAGTTGTAAATTCTAATGCTTCAGCTGTTGTGTCTTCATCAAAACCTTTCGACAGTGCACTTGAAACTGAAAAAAATTTAACCTCTGAAAAGTACCTACTTTTAAAAGCACTAAGTTATTAGGACTGTAAGAAGCTCTGTTTTCTTAGCTTTGTAGAAAAGCAGATACCTAGTGTTAGTAAATATCTAAAATGGTTTTGTTACTGTGACAGATGAAGAAAACTAACTGATAATGAAATACCCCCCCCCCCCCCGCCCCATCCATGCACAATGATGTAAATGTACTGCTGTTTGCACAAGAAAAATGGGGATGCATTTGGGATATTGAGAAGAAAAGAAAATAAGGTGTTTAAGTTGTTGAAGTCTGAGTACATCCAAGGTTAAATACCTGGTATTCTTCCTGACTGAGACATGTGAAGGTGAAGTCTTAAAGTTGGAATTTGGATAAAACCACTTCTGCTCTTTGTGTATTTCTTTGTAGTTAAAATAAGTTAAATTGGCTGCACCAAGATTCTCCATGTGATGTCTACCCAGGTCTTGAAAAGGCAAGAGGGTGTTTTTGGTATTCACCTGCCTGGCTTGTTATGACTGACTGACCCTCAAGTTTTTATTGTTATATTACAAGCAAAAAACAAGTAAATAAAGAATTGTATTCATAATATTTATTACAAAATTAAATGACATTTATTTAATTTATTTTGAAAAGTCTCTGGTTATGCAGAGGATTTGAGGCAGATTGAAATTAGGACCTAAAACTGCTTGACATTGTATAGTCCAAGTTAGACCGTTTGAATGATAATTTTCATGTAATTCAGCTGTTTGAAGATATTCAAGTAATGATTGTTTTAAGTAACAAAATACTGGAATCTGGATGAGAGGGTTACACTAGATATGCATACAGTATTTGACATTTTATTTGATATGCATAAATTTACATCAAATTTAGAAAGTATTTTTTTTTATTTCTAAAAGCATTAGACAGATATTTATTTTTTTATAATTTTCTGATAGTGTGCTCTATATTTTTGGACGTTTTATTTGCAAGGAGTTCCTCTCAGATTGAGATGAACACATGGAATATCTCTCTCTTGTAACCTGTTTGACTTTTATGCACTGTGAGCAATTCTTAGTTAAAAATATTCCATCAGACAAGATGTGCTTCCATCATCAAAGTTGATTTTCCATAACATGTTTTAGTGTTGAACGGCATCTTAATTGAACAGTTTATGAGTCGGTAAGGTGACTGCTTTCACAAAACCACAGTGAATCCTCTCATCACTAGGTAGCCATGTATGTTGCACTGCTGCTCGTTTCTGCGATGAAAATAGTGAGCACGAAGCATTCAAAGCAACAGTCATGAACGAAAGTAAGACGTGTTGGTATTGAAGTTATATATGTGAACATTGATACGTATGTGAAATTTCACTCACTTGTGCCAAACAGATGTGGCCCTCGAACAACACTGATAATGATGCTATGTATGAAATGCCACTGCAACATGTGTTGCTTACTTTTGGATGCAAAATTATTCAAATCTGCTTTCCTGAGCCTGAAATTGAAGCCCCATTGTGCACTGAGCCATCCTTCACCTTGAAAGACCCACAAATGTCACTCCTGTGCAGAAAAATCACAAGGTATTGAAGCCCCCCAAAATAATAATAATAATAATAATAATAATAAAATTAAAATAATAATAATAATAATAGTAATATGTAAGGTTCTTTAAACTAACATATTGGAATGCATTCTTAACTCCCACTTTCTAAAACAATCATGAATATGACATTAAAAATAATAAAAATAACTCCCTACCTACCCTACATATTTTTTTGGACATGTTACTTGTATTGCAGTTTTTTTCCTCAACCTACCTGGAGAGTGCTCTGAGGGTGCCCAGCTCATGGCCTGGTCCCAGACCTGGCTACCTGGTGGATGACCTTATCAGTCACATGGAGTCCCATATAAGCACCACATCCTGGCTGGTCAGGAACTGACCAGTTCTATCACAGTTGGTATCCCCCTTATGTATGAATGGAGGACAGTGAAAACCTTTTGTCCCTTTACACTTAATGAAGTTTCCCTTAGTGTATTCACTGCACCCTGGCTTTTCATTTGAGGTATTTTGTACTGTCTGCCAAGCCTCTTACTTTCACAGGGAATGAGTTTGTGTGTGAATATTTGGGACCAATCCTTATCAAACATTCCATGACTCTCAGTTACTTTATTTAACTGATGGCAAGTTACTTTTGCCTAGAAAACCTTTTGTTTTATCTTTTAGGTGTGAAAAGTAGTTAAATTATTCTGCCTTCATTAGTTGGTAAATATTTTCTGTAATATCAACCAATTATGAAAACTGAAAAGTTTTGTTACTGGAGAAACACTGCCAGAGCAGGTGTAGAAGCCATCAAGAAGAGATTAGACATGTACCTCTACCATGTGCTTGATCAACCTGGCTGTGGTGGATGAGTGTTCCAGCAGACCACTGACAGTAGCAGCCTGGTTGATCAGGCCAGTGCCAGACAAGTATGGCCTGGAACTGGAGTGCAGGAGTAGGAAAACTCACGAAACTCTTCGAAGATATAACAAAGGACACTCGTATAATAGCTGTACTGTACAGTATTATTTAGGTACTCTTCAAAAGTTGTATAACTGCTGAACCAGGCTTATAACTGAACACTTCATTATACAGTAAAGATGCACTAACACTTTAATGTATAGTAAAGTACAGTAACATTATTTCTTTTTTCTTTGATGCTGTATACTTCTGTAAGAAGTAATTTGTTATAAAATCATTCACATGGATTAATAAGAGATGAATATTGTATGCTCTTAGGGTGATGGTGAGGGACAAGTTGTATACTGTACTATATTTAATGCAGTAATAAGAATATTAGACACCAAACACAAGTTTAAGAAAAAAATTCTGTAATTCTGATTGACTGGTTTTTCTTTAATGATTTTGTGTTTATACTTGAATCTAGAGCCTAATTAATTTGGATATTTAACAAGTTATTTAAAGCTAGTATAGACAGTAGAATGTCATGTTTGTCAGTCAAGAAAGCTACATATAGCCACACAGGTGAAGTTGAATGTCGTACACATCAGCCAAGAAACGGGCAATGCAGTCATAGCTGTCTTGGAGATAATTTAATATTTGCAGGTGCAAGTCTCAGTTGTGTTGGAAACATGTGTTGCATAGTGTGGCTTGGTAAAGAAAACCAAATGTATAAACAGTCAGCTCTAGCAATGCTAAATGACTACGAGAAATTTGCTTGAGAAAACAAAAATGAAATGTGAGGAGGAGAAAGTAATACATGTGAAGGCAGTTCAGTGAGACACTGCCAGTGATGAGTTACTGTCTCCATTTTGACAATTGACACTGCCAGTGATGAGTTACTATCTCCACTTTAACAAGTGACACTGCTGGTGGTGAGTTACTATTTCCACTTACTTTAAGAAGTGATGACTAGCTTAAATTGCAAGATTTATTACCCGAGATAATCATTGATCTTACCTTGTTGGAAGTATATAAAATTTCAGCTGAGAGGTCCTTAAGCTGATAAAGTGCAGTGTAGGTATGTGTGTATGTATGTATGTACGTATATATTTCTATATATATGGTGTGTGGGTGGGTGAATTAGTTCATCGTGACATTGGATGTTAGTGACTTCAGCCTTCTACTGTAAAGGTAAATATGCAAAATATTTCCATAACAAGAGGTAGAAATTTTCAAGAAGAAACTTAGACAGGTGTCTTGAAGAAGCACTTGATCAGCTGGGTTGGGTTGTCTGTTAGCCTGCATGCAGCAGTAACCTGGTGTGACTGATCAGGTGATCACCAGGTAATTCTCACCTCAGGCTAGGCTGATAGAGCAGGAAAAAACTCTTGAAAACAGCTGCAGGTATGGATTTTAGTGTTTTACTCAAAAGTAGTAGCTAGGTATATACTCTACTAAACTATGATAGCTTGTTCATGCTGTTGAAAAAGATGGGTACTAGGTGGCATTAGATTTGTAATGATTCAGTTCAGGCATGAATGTGGGAATGAGGAATACCTGGAGATGGCAGATTGATGACAGATTACAGTGACTACAATTGTTTGAGTCTCCCTTCAATCTGTTAAAGTAGGTTGTGGTGCTGTAACAAAGTTGCTGTTCGTTTAGAGAAGATGTATGTGTGTAACTACTTACGTAAGCAGACAAGAGGAAGGTTGTATGCATTTTGTTCTTATTAACCAGAAATCTTTTTTTTTTTTTTTTGCACTTCTTCAGTATTTGAAAATTAACAGAATTGTTAAATATCCTGCTATCCTGGTACCAAAGCATATCGACCATGCATAAATTATGAATCGTTTCAATTTATTTCCATGTGATACATCGTTCGTACAAAATTGGATGACATTACATCTCTCACATGGAAAGCCCTTTAGTTATGTAGAGCATTTTGGGCACAAAAGTTATATACACATACAGAAATAAGCTAGAGATGATGGTGTGGGGAGAGCGTGGGTGTATCAATTAATCAGCTGGTTGTGATGGTGACAATGATTAGCACTCGAGCTGCCAGAGCTCTGCACGTTGAAATGTCAGAGGTCAATTAGAAATTGTATGGAAATTCTGCATATACATTAGCAGCAAAGAGGAAATAATGGCTACCACATATGAAGTAAAGTTGTTGAGATGACTCTACAGTATTTGATGCTACTTTTGACATTACTTAAGTACCTACTTAAGAGTCACTCGCATACCTCTAGGGTTATGTAGGTATACACCAAAAACTATAATGTGTATAATTAATTCTCCCAAGTTTTTTCTGAAATATTTGTGATTAGTTTATTCTCTTGTTATACTGTCAATTTTTTTCTTATAGAAAATATGCCCAGATGAGAAAGGGGGTAGAGATGATTAAAATGCTTCATAAACTCAGTGAGGATCAGGGGTGCGGTGGGGACAATAAGGGAACACTGTATCAACATCCGGGGTCCCAGACTATTCAACATCTTACCAGAAGATATTAGAAATATGGCTGGGGCAAGTGTAGAAGCCTTCAAGAGGAAACTGGACAAGTATCTTCACCAGGTGCCAGATCAACCAGGCTGTGATGGATATGTGGGGCAGCGGGCCTCCAGCAGCAACAGCCTGGTTGACCAGGCAAGCACCAGACGAGCCAGGCTCAGAGAGTAGTTTAACTCAAAAACTCTTCAAAGGTATATCAAAGGTATCACTAATTAAAGGGTTGAGGCTGTAGAATACCTTGGAGAATAACATCTGAGCCTTTATACTGCCTTTCTTACTCAGGAACATGGGCGAACTACCATTATGGAGTACAGAACCACCAGAACCATAACATTACTGCCTTCCCCATTCAGGAATACAGGAACCTGTCATTATGGAGCACAAAACCAGAAGAGCATCTACACCATGTATAACATTCACACAGTAGCACTTCATCCTCGTCTAAATGTACAGTGGCTGCTTAGTTGGCTTCTAGGAGGGCCTAGCAGTGCATCCATGAAGTGCGTCATTCAGGGGTTCTTCATTTGTTCTATTTAACCCGTAAACGGTCCAAGCAGATCTACGTTCACACGTGTAGTGCTACAAAAGTAGATCTACATTTTTTTTTACATATTTTTCAACTATAACAAAAAAAAAAAGTAGATCCAAGTTTTTTACACATTTTCAAATGTAAAAAAAAAAAAAAAAAAAAAGATTACTTTTTTTACGTACTTTCAAATGTTGAAAAAAAGTATATATACGTTTGGACCATTTACGGGTTAAATGGATCATTTCTTACTTGTGCATGGCTTGATTAAGATATAAGTAATTCCAGGCTTTCTAATATGGGGTGTGTGTAACAGAAACCAAATTTAATTGGCTACTTCAAGCATTGTGGGAATTGTTTAACTTTTTTTTTTATATTATCTAATTGAGGATACTGTGACTTATTTTGTTTCTGAGTTTAATTTGGCAATTCTGTTTTGTATTTTCTGGCAATGCAGTATACAAGATTGATAATTTTAAAGACTAGAAATATATTTTCGGAAAGCTTACGTCATAACACCGAATACAGTTTATGATTACACACTGGGAAAGTGAGATAGAATACAGTAGGACCACCATGTCCATGGGTCCAGTTTTCGTGGTTTCAGTTACCCATGGTTTACCCTGGCCTGAAAATAACCCTTAACCCCTTGACTGTCGAAACCCCAAATCCTGAGGTGTCTTTTGGTGTTGAAAAATTTTTGAAAAAAAAAAAAAAATTCTAATGAAATGATAGAGAATCTTTTCCCGATGGTAATGACACCAGAAGAACAAAATTTGATGGAAAACTTACGGAATTACGCTCTCGCAAAGTTAGCGACCTCGGCAATATTTATGAATCGTCGATTTCACCCACTTTGAGCCCTATTTTCGGCTAATTCCATTGTTCCACTCGACCAGACTCATAGCTATTTTTTTAGAACTCCATTTGTTCTATAAATTGAGTACAAGAAACTGCCCATTTACCGATTTCAACTACCCAATAACGTGGTCAGAAATTTGCAATTTGGCCAATTTCACGCAAATTAAAAAATACAATGGTCCTTCGCTTTTCGTAGTTCTTGGGAATCATAGATTTCGGAAATCATAGGGATATTTTCATATAAACACGGACTCGCTTTTCATAGGTTGACTCGCGAGTAGTAGTTCATCCGGGGCGCGTACGCACGGTGTGAGCCGGGGCGGCAGCCAGTCTGGCATTGTTTACCAGTGAGCGAAGGTCCCCTCACGTGCTCCTATGAAATATTTCATAATATTCCACTCATTTTAGTGCTTGCAAGTATTAAATAAGCTACCATGGCTCCAAAGAAAGCTCCTAGTGCCAAGCCTGTGGTAAAGAAGGTGAGAAATACGATTGAATTTAAGAAAAACATCATTGAACAATATGAAAGTGGCACAAGTGTTGCCGAACTGGCCAGGATGTATAAGAAACCCTACACAACCATATGTTCCATAGTGGCCAAGAAAAAGGAAATCAAGGAAGCTGTTGTTGCAAAGGGGGTAACTATGCTGACAAAAATGAGATCACCAGTACTCAAAGAGGTTGAGAAGTTATTATTGGTGTGGATAAATGAGATACAATTAGCAGGAGATACTCTTATGACTTCGATTATTTGTGAAAAGGCTAGGCAGTTGCACGAGGATCTGGTAAAGAAATTGCCTGAAAATAGTGGTGATGTGAGTGAATTTAAGGCCAGCAAAGGTTGGTTTGAGAGATTTAAGAACCGTACTGGCATACACAGTGTGGTAAGGCACGGTGAGGCTGCCAGTTCGGACTGCAAGGCAGCTGAAAAATATGTGCATGAATTCAAGGAGTACATAGAGGCTGAAGGACTGAAACCTGAACAAGTGTTCATTTGTGACGAAACAGGCCTCTTTTGGAAGAAAATGCCAAAGAGGACCTTCATTACACAGGAGGAAAAGGCAATGCTAGGACACAAGCCTATGAAAGACAGGCTGATGCTAATGTTCTGTGCTAATGCTAGTGGGGATTTTAAAGTGAAGCCATTACTAGTGTACCATTCTGAAAATCCCAGAGTGTTCAGGAAAAACAATGTTATGAAGAGTAAATTGTGTGTGTTTTGGAAATCTAATAGTAAGGCATGGGTCACGAGGGAAATTTTTGTCGAGTGGTTCAATGAAGTGTTTGGCCCTAGTGTGAAGAATTATCTCTTGGAAAAAAAATTGGATCTCAAGTGCCTGCTAGTAATGGACAATGCACCTGCTCATCCTCCAAACTTGGATGACCTAATTTTCGAGGAGTTTGGGTTCATCACAGTAAAGTTCTTGCCCCCGAATACCACTCCTCTCCTCCAGCCCATGGACCAGCAGGTCATTGCAAACTTTAAAAACTCTACACCAAAGCAATGTTTCACAGGTGCTTGACTGTGACCACAGACACTCACTTGACCCTAAGGGAATTTTGGAGAGAACACTTCAGCATCCTCCATTGCATAACCCTTATAGGTATGGCTTGGGAGGGAGTGACTACCAGGACTTTGAACTCTGCTTGGAGAAAATTGTGGCCAGATTGTGTCGACAAGAGGGATTTTGAAGGATTTGGGACTGACCCTGATGAGCCTATGTCTGTTGTTAAATCAATTGTGGCACTGGGGAGTTCCATGGGGTTGGATGTGAGTTTGGAGGATGTGGAAGAATTGGTGGAAGACCACAACGAAGAGCTCACCACTGAGGAGCTGCAAGAGCTTCAGTAGGAACAGCAATAGATCGCAGCTCAGAATCTTGCTGCAGAGGAGGAGGAAGAGAGATGGAAGAAGGTGCCTTCTTCAGAAATTAAAGAGATTTTTGCTATGTGGGGTAAGATGGAAAGCTTTATGGAGAAACATCACCCTGACAAGGTTGTTGCAAGCCATGTTGGCAACATGTACAGTGACAAAGTCTTGGGCCATTTTAGGGAAGTGTTAGAGACGCCAGAAACAGAGCTCTCTCCACAGTTATTTTGCGAGACAGGACTCCAGTGACTCTCAAGGTGGTCCTTGTGGCATTAAGAAACAGAGAAGAGAAGCAACCCCAGAAAAGCAAATGGTACCTGAGGTGTTGATGGAAGGGGATTCCCCTTCCAAACTATAAACAATCCAATCTCTCTCCTCCTCCAGTCTCCCATACACTAAAAAGAATCTCCAATAAAGGTAAGTGTTATGCTGTTAATGTTTCATTCATCATTTCCCATTGTATTGTTTATGTACTACATGTATATTTCATGTAAAAATTTTTTTTTGTTTTAATACTTCTGGGTGTCAGGAACGGATTAATTGTATTTACATTATTTCTTATGGGGAAAATTTATTTGCATATCGTAGATTTCGTTAATAGTAGCAACTCCAGGAACGGATTAACTACGAGAAACGAGGGACCACTGTATTCCAATTTTAAAATAGGGTCCAGAATGAGCAATGCAGACATTCCTGGCTCTAAAATAACATTTTCTTTGTTCATCTGTCATGCTTCCAGGCCCCTCTGATATTACTCTTGCTTTCTATTTTGAATTTTTATTCAAACAAAAAATAGAAGATTTACTGATATGCAGACTACTGCAATATTGTAATAATTGTATAAATAATGTCAACCCATTCATGACTGCATATTAGAATGGCTAGTTGGACATTTATTGGACAATGACATCATTTGTTTACTTTGAACATTGGCAAAAATCAAACATTTCCCCTACTTGAGCTCCATTTCAAAATTCTTTTCATAGTAAAACTAATCGAAATCACCTCTATTTCTTTAATATGTTTTCCATTCTATCAAATGAGACCAAGAAAACAAGAATACAACCATAAATACTTTACGAAAATACACCACAAAGTCGGTGTTTTAATAAAAAAAAACGGACAGTTTTTTTTTCTCATGCACTGCGTGCTGCAGGATTTTTTATATGGTGCACGCTGACCACACAGACCCATTCTCTCACATGTGGGCCTACCAGCTTTCTCCTGCTTGATTTGAAGCCGCTAGAATTTTTGAGTATACGTATATACGTCAAACACGGTGGCTCGTAAGACGTATATATACAACTGAAACAGTCAAAGGGTTAATTTTGCTTAATAATGGCCCCAAAGTGCAAAAGCAGTGATGTTGGTAGTTCTTCTAAGCCTAAAAGAAACCATAAAGTGGTTTCCATCAGTAAAAAGTACTAATTCTCGACTTATTGTGTGTAATTTAACAAGCTTTATCTTAGGTATGTATGTTAATGAAAAAAGACATCTTTGGTTTCGGGTATCCACGGTAGGTCTTGGAATGTATCCCCCACGGATACTGGGGTTCTAGGGCTGCTAGTACCCTGTATTCTGCAGTACTCAATCTGTGTTCTGAATGATGAAATGGGGATCATTTAATATGACTATGTACACTATAAACAGTTTCACACTGAATTTGTGACAGTCTGTTCAGGAGGTCATGGAAAGCTAACTGGTTGTTAGTGCCAATAAGCTCACAGATGTACAGAAGAAAGAGCATACAAAAATGATGGTTTCGTATTGATATGGTAGTTGGCAGGGAAGGGTACTTCTTAATTCTTCAGGTCATTAACCTTTCATCAGCATCAAGGCAATCCTCTTGAAGGCTGAGGTATGAGGGAGAAATAGACAAGAAATACCATACTGTATTGCACTGTGCCTATACTTATGTGTACAGTAAACCCTCCATATAATCAACTAATTGGGGGATTGGGTTCAGATGGCCAGTAATGATAGTAGTGGTAGATAGAGAGGAAATTGTTTTGTGATTGTAACAATACTGGATAGATCTGTAAACCAGTAGACGTCATAGTTTCCAAATCGATTGACCCAGCAGATTTTTTTTTTTCTGTTTTTCCAAAGTCTGTTGTTTGGAGGTTTATATATGCACAAATAACCTGTACTTAGGAAAAGGAAAGTAATGATGATGATGTGGTCAGACTTGGGCCATTGACAAGTGTGACTTATCAGTAGGGCTTGTTAGAGATTGTTCTCTTTCTTCTGCAAATTGAACATACTAGTCACATTTATGGTCTTCTCATGGATGGTTGTCCTACTCTGCTGTGCAAGGTTTGTCAGGTAGTCACAATCATCCCACTGTCTAATGTGCATGGCTGCATGCTCTTATAAGAGAGTGCAGCAGGTTCTTGAATAACGTTGTTTCATTGTGTCTTTTGTTATAATGTTGATGAGAAAAAAATCAAATGAGTACAGTGAATACAAATTACAGTGGACCCCCGCATAGCGAACGCCTTGCATAGCGAACAATCCGCATAGAGAACGCTTTGTTCGCTAAAATTTTGCCCCGCATAGTGGACAAAAACCCGCTCAGCGACCTTCGTCCGAGACGCGTCCAATGTGCCCTCAGCCAGCCTCACATGTGCCGCCCGTCCCATTGTTTACCAGCCAGCCTCCGCGGTAACATTCAAGCATACACTCGGAATATTTCGTATTATTACAGTGTTTTCGGTGCTGTTTGTGGAAAATAAGTGACCATGGGCCCCAAGAAAGCTTCTAGTGCCAACCCTACACCTCAAAGGGTAAGAATACCCATTGAAATGAAGAAAGAGATCATTGATAAGTATGAAAGTGGAGTACGTATCACCGACCTGGTCAGGTTGTACAAGAAACCAAAATCAACCATCGCTTCTATTGTGGGCAAGAAAACGGCAATCAAGGAAGCTGTTGTTGCCAAAGGTTTAACTGTGTTTCGAAACAAAGATCGCAAGTGATTGGAAGATGTTGAGAGACTCTTATTGGTGTGGATAAATGGAAAAACAGCTAGCAGGAGATAGCGTCTCTCAAGCGATCATATGTGAAAAGGCTAGGAAGTTGCATGACGATTTAATTAAAAAAATGCCTGCAACTAGTGATGATGTGAGTGAATTTAAGGCCAGCAAAGGTTGGTTTGAGAGATTTAAGAAGTGTAGTGGCATCCATAGTGTGATACGGCATGGTGAGGCTGCCAGTTCGGACCACAAAGCGGCTGAAAAATATGTGCATGAATTCAAGGAGTACATAGAAACTGAAGGACTGGAACCTGAACAAGTGTTTAATTGTGATGAAACAGGCCTGTTCTGGAAGAAAATGCCAAGCAGGACCTACATTACTCAGGAGGAAAAGGCACTCCCAGGACATAAGCCTATGAAAGACAGGCTTACTTTGTTGATGTGTGCCAATGCTAGTGGTGATTGCAAAGTTAAGCCTTTATTAGTGTATCACTCTGAAACTCCCAGAGCGTTCAGGCAAAAGAATGTCCTCAAGGATAATTTGTGTGTGCTGTGGAGGGCAAACAGTAAGGCATGGGTCACTAGGGAAATTTTTCTATAACTGGTTACACCATGCATTTGCCCCCAATGTGAAAGATTACCTAACTGAAAAGAAATTAGACCTTAAGTGCCTCCTGGTGTTAGACAATGCCCTGGTCATCCTACAGACGTGGCAGAGCGACTTTATGGGGACATGAGCTTCATTAAGGTGAAGTTTTTGCCTCTAATACACACTCCTCTCCTGCAGCCCATGGACCAGCAGGTCATTTCCAACTTCAAGAAACTGTACACAAAAGCTCTGTTTCAAAAGTGGTTTGAAGTGACCACAGACACTCGATTGACTCTAAAAGAGTTTTGGAAGGATCACTTTAATATCCTCAGTTGTGTAAACCTTATAGGTAAGGCTTGGGAGGGAGTGACTAAGAGAACCTTGAACTCTGCTTGGAAGAAACTGTGGCCAGAATGTGTAGACAAAAGGGATTTTGAAGGGTTTGAGGCTAACCCTGAGATGAGTAGTATACCAGTTGAGGAATCAATTGTGGAATTGGGGAAGTCCTTGGGGTTGGAGGTTAGTGGGGAGGATGTGGAAGAGTTGGTGGAGGAGGACAATGAAGAACTAACCACTGATGAGCTGATAGATCAACTTCAAGAGCAAGAGGCCAGACCTGGGGAAACTGGTTCAAAGGAGGGGAGAGAGAAATTGAAGGAATTGCCTACTTCAAAGATTAAGGAAATGTGTGCAAAATGCTTGAAGTGCAAACCTTTTTTGATGAAAATCACCCTCACACAGCTATTGCAAGCCGTGCTGGTGACTGTTACAATGACACTGTTGTGAACCACTTTAGACAAATCATAAAGGAACGAGAGGTACAGGCCACTATGGACAGATATGTTGTGCGAAAGAAGTCCAGTGACTCTGAAGCTGGTCCTAGTGGCATTAAAAGAAGAAGGGAAGTAACCCCAGAAAAGGACTTGCTACCTCAAGTCCTAATGGAAGGGGATTCCCCTTCTAAACACTAACACTCTCTCTCCCCTCCTCCCATCCCATCAATCATCACCAGATCTTCAATAAAAGTAAGTGTCATGTAATTGTGCATGCCTTTTTCAGTTTGTGTGTACTAAAATTAACATTTTTTTGTGGTAAAAAATTTTTTTTTTCATACTTTTGGGTGTCTTGCACGGATTAATTTTATTTCCATTATTTCTTATGGGGAAAATTAATTCGCATAGCGAACATTTCGCATAACGACCAGCCCTCTTGCACGGATTAAGTTCGCTATGCGGGGGTCCACTGTACTGTAAAACAAAAATTCGTAAAGTATACAATAATCATAAAAATGCATGACAACAAACGATGCGGTATGAAAGCGCTCAGCGAGCCCGCCATATTTGTTATTGTTTGCTTTTGAATTGCATAGTGGTAGGAAGTGCTCCTTACAATTTTTGCTTTGCAAGCATTTATTCCTTGATATAACCCTTTGCAGTGAGTGCTAAAGGTGCAGTTTGCACCCCCTGATGTCTGTGGCCACAAACAACAGAAAACGTGTGGCATTAGAAACCTTCTAGTTTTAGAGGTTTGACGATGGACAGCGAGGTGTGGTTTCATTATACTATATTGTTTCGCTTGAAGTTGCAGTTTCCAAGAACCTATCAACGACATTAAGTGAGGACTTACTGTACAGTATTTCAGTGTGTAACATTGGAACCAGCCCCTCCAGTATTTCCAGGTGTCAATTATGATACAGCAGAGTGCTGTACATATCATTCTTGACTGTGCTCCAAGGAGTGCAGTTTAAAGGCTTATGCCAACCATACAATTAAGATGTTTAATATTGGCAGTGGAAGTTCTCTGCATGTTCCTCAGATTGCAATTATGCCAGCCTGTGACTGATAGTGTAAAACAGCATTCCCATTTAACCCTTTGGGGGTTTCGGACGTCCTAGTACGTCTTACGACCCAGGGTTTTTGACATACTAGTACATACTCCTATATTCTAGCGCCCTCAAATCTAGTGAGAGAAAGCTGGTAGGCCTACATATGAAAGAATGGGTCTATGTGGTCAGTGTGCGCAGTATAAAAAAAATCCTGCAGCACACAGTGTGTAATGAGAAAAAAAAAAACTTTGACCGTGTTTTTGGATTAAAACAGCGACTTTGCACTGTATTTTCGTATGGTATTTATTGTTGTATTCTAGTTTTCTTGGTCTCATTTTATAGAATGGAAGACATATTACAGAAATTGAGATGGTTTTGATTGGTTTTACAATAAAAAGTACCTTGAAATTGAGCTCAAAGTAGCAGAAATGTTCGATTTTTACCAAAGTTCAAAAGTAAACAAATCATGCCAAGCGTTCAATACACATCAACTGGTGAGTCTAATATTCTTTCACAAGTGCGCCGATATTATTTATACCATTTCTACACTAATGCAGTAGTCTGCATAACAGTAAATCTTATTTTTTTGTAAGAATAAAAATTCAAAGTAGAAAGCCAAAGAAATATAAGAAGGGCCTGGGGATGTGACTGATGAACAGAGAACTTGTTATTTTAGTGCCAAGAATGTCTTTCTTATTTATTCTGGACCCTATTTGGAAATTGGCATCTTTTGAAATTTGTGTGAAATTGGCAAAATTGCTAAATTCTGACCACTTTATTGGATAGTTGAAATTGGTAAATGGGTGGTTTATTGTACTCATTCTATAGAAAAAATGGAGTTCTAGCGGAATAGTTATGATTTTTGTCGACTAGTACACTGGAATTGGCCGAAAATAGGGCTCGAAGTGGGCAAAATCGCCGATGCGTGAACATCATCGAGACCGCTAACTTCGCTAGAGCATGATTCCGTAAGTTTTCCATCAAATTTCATACTTTTGGTGTCATTATGATCGGGAAAAGATTCTCTATCTTTTCACAAGATTTTTTTTTTTTTTTTAAATTTGGCCGACCCTGAGAACAAGTCTCTGAGAGGACCTGTCGGCCCGCAAAGGGTTAATGTAATACTTCACTAATGAGATTTGTTATTGGATTGGCTGTTGTCCAGTCTATTATCTTTCTTGCAGTTGTGATAGTAGGGAAATTGATAAGCTGGGTAAGTAAATCATAGTGCATGATTGATTGAAAGTTGCAGGAGTCGGTGGAAAGATAAGTTTGTTAATGGGTAGAATGGTATTATGTATTTTCATGAATATTATAGACAACCCCCACTTAACAACCTGGCTATCATAAATTTATTTAAAGCCTGGGTATATTGAGGTGCAAACCCACATGACTACAGTCTCCTCCCTGTTAATGAAATTTGTGGTAGTGGCTTGCATCAGCTTGGCTGAGGCAGGTGGGTTGGTGCCCTTCTGTGACGAACAAACTCAGCCAGCAGCCATTCTTGCATGCTAGGATGGGGCAGGTGCTGGGGTAGACAGGCTATGCAGACATTATTTTTCTTTAGTGGACCATTGACACAGCATGTTTTGCTTTATGTCCCTATTTCATTGGTTGCGGTATTTTACATATTTTACTCACTTTACAACTAATGCTTTTCTTAGTCTTTGCATCAATGCAATTTTTAGTCACTAAAATAGCTATTTTGGGGGATGAATGCTGGCACAAAACCAAGTGCAGTTGCCAAAACTTAGTCAACCCATAAGACAGTGTATGCCATCTGTGCTCACTTTGATAAGGTGACAAAGTGCTTGGCATGCACTTGCTGTCACTGTTTCAAGGTTAACTCGAAGTTTGCTCTAGCTCGCATGCTCTCCTTCCCCTTCCCTCTTCCCACCTTTCTGCTCCCTCCCC